CGCGGCGATGAGCCATCCGCTTTAGGAAATACCCGTCGAAGCGGAGGGAGCAACGTCGGGGGCACCGTCGACGCTACGCGGTCCTCTCGTCGTCTAATTGAATGGCATTTTATTTAGCACAGTTCCCCGCACTCTGGATAGCCGCTATTTACCTCAATTACGTAATTCACCGTACACAACCGGCCGCGCAGCCATCCACCATAGGCATCGCATGGTGATGGCGCGGGCCGATGGTGGTAGTGGTAGCCGCTGATGGTGGTGGCGGTCGACTGATGACACGTGTTTGCGCTACCGCCGCCATGCAATTAGCCCCCAATGTAATTTCGCGCCATAAGAGCGTGCCACGCTCTTTTGGCCTAGTGCCGTTCCCGCGGGCGCATCGGTACACCGGTATTACGAAGAGGGAAGTGATTTCGTTCAGGACACGTAAGGAAATTCGAGCCTCGTGCCATTCTCATGTTTCATACCCGACGCACTTCTCTATACACGCTGACGCGACTAATTGGCCATTAATATTAATTTCCATCGTCGATATTCGTTTTATATTCCACACGTCACGTCCTGCTTTTCAAATTAGAACGGCGCTTCTAAGGCGCTCTGAGCAGCTTGCTGGGACAATTTCTTGTGTCTAATTTGGAAGAGAGTTTTCGACTCATAGAAAAGAGGAAGTATTTTCGTTCACGATGTTTAGGAGGGAAAAAAACATTTATATATCGCTTGTTTCCTATATATTTAAACAGATTACTTTATCTATAAACAGTTGCGTCTACTTTTACGTGAACAAGAGTATTTTACAGTTGTACTATTTCACTTCGAGCTCCACTATACCTAAAACGTCATTATAATAAACGTCACATTTATGCAAAATGGGCATAAATTTTACTCTTACTATATATTATAAGTTTCATATTATTCGACATTAACATTTTCTATTTTCGCTTTGAGCATATGTTATATATTTATACTGAAAATAATCTAAATCGAAACGTGAGAAAGCTGTTAGCAAATAAATTATTTTTGGACCGTGCATAAATTTTATTTTATAGAGGAACGCCGTGTATACTTTTCGAAATAAAAATACTCGGTTTTTCGGCATTTGTACGGACAATTATTTATTGTCTGCAAAATTTTATGAAACAATTAATGTTGCATTTTTCAACGTATCGAGAACGAGTCCGCGCGTAATTGAGGCATCGTCTGTATGCCAGCGAAACGTGACGCAATGTTAATAGATGGTATATAATTTGGCGACTAATATCATTGTAGACGATAACCACGCTCAAGACAGTAATTGTGCTCGCTCTGTCTGATTAAGCATAATTATAATCCAGAAAGAAATGTCTCTAGGTCACTGTGCTACGACGAGCAACGAATTCCTGTTCAAACCGTTCCGCGGAATATATTTCTAAAGTTTCACTGAAATTTTCGACAGAAACTTACATTTCGTACGTTATGGAATGTTTTTGTATTCATTTTAATTCCAGCTAATAATATGGAAATAATATAAGTGATACACGCTCATGCACACGCATGTTTAATAATGCCGAAATAATGTCTAACAAATACATAAAAATGCCTAATTATACCTGAACATTTTATGCCTGACAATCGCAACTAAGACAAAAAGTACAATTAACATTGCGAAAAAATTGTTGTGACAAAAGTCACTTGGTTAAATACGCTACGTGTGCGGAAAATATTTTATCTGCTTGCTTTTGTCAATCGTCCACGAGGAAAGGATTCGGTCAGGCGGCGCGTAATAAAAAGCTCTTAATTTTAATTACGAATAAAACATCGATAAACATAAAAAAACTCAGTGGAACGATTTCCAATCACAAGACACCACTTATATTAAATTACTCTAATAAATTACAGCGTCGATATCATGATTAATGAATGCCCGAATACGTATAACGATTAATACCGCCCGCGAACGAACTCCAATCCATCTCTACTCGACTTCCATAAATCGCGAATATTTGAAAAAAGATGTAGGATATTTATAAGGAATTTTAACAATATTTATTTCGAGGTGCATGAAAACTAGCGAACGGGAAGTGTCTTGTTTTCCGGTCGATTCGCGATTTATTCTCGTTTTCTTAAACATCTCAGATCTTCGCCCGCGTAGAAACAGATTTGTTGATTTATTGAAATGTTAATATTTCGTTTAATTGTGAGTTTGTAGCGGTTGATACGATTTATATTTTAATGTAGAATTGATAAATCGTATAGCATAAATTCGAAGAACGTGAGCAATTTCTCAAATAGCGTGTATTATCGACATGTATTTGCTGCGCCGATCATCTTTTGGGACCTAATAGATGGAAATTCTTGTTAAATCCATTGGCGCTTTATTATCGCCAATCTCATCATTAACGCAATCACAGCGGTGTACACTTCGGAGGCAGCAAGAAGAGAGGAAAAAAAATACCGCGCCGTTCGTACGCTCCATCTTTCGCCAAGAGTAGACGCCCTTCGTGGTGGATTAATGGGCGGAGCAAAAGGACGTTCTTTGCTGCCAAAGTGTCGCGACAAGATTCACGTGAGCAGCCGATAACCGAGAAAACGGAATCTGCAAACTCTAAGCCAGAATGGCCTACGATCTTAATGATACCCTGGATGAGTGACGAAGGGAGATCATGTCGTAGCTCAATAGAGGTCGGAGACGAGCTATCTGCGCAACAGTAAATTTTCCGCAAAGATGACTTGGTCCACGTAATCCTTTAGACTTATTAAACCCGTGAACACGAACTCGGTATACTGCGAATTTATCGTCACTTACACCTGTACGTATATATTTTCCTGAGCGACAGATATTTGAGGAGAGGGACTCCAACTGATTTAGAAATAAAATTGAGAGAATTAACAATAAAAATAAGAATTAGACTCACGTTTTTATAGACAAGACAGGATGACAAGAGCAAAAGCACTCGTTTTTTTTTATCTAAATCGCTTAATTTGAAAAAGAAGTTAATGCATCGATCGCTAATTATGAATAAAAAAGAAACTCTATGTCTCTACAGATTTCAGGAAAGCGAAAATCTGAAAAGGTTCGATGGATTTCTCGAGTGGTGGAAAAAATCATTTCCCCCGGAGTTTCTCGTAAGACGACTTCAAGTGCGTGAAAATCGAGTGAGAGACGCACCTCTGCGTCTCGTGTATAATCCGTAAAAAAAAAAAAAAAACAGATAGAGGATGACGAACGAAATTTGGAATAAAGACATCGCTCGGGAAAGTAGAATTTTCGCGGCCGTCCAAGTGCGTCAGCCCCCGGGGAAGTATCCAATCTGACAGTCGGAAAGTCAAGTGCTCGACAATTGGAACGTCACTCGTCTCTCACCTGCTGTCACAGCGAGTCTGATAGCGCGATTTAGCGAATGAGTCGCGAGCAAGTCGAAAAGAATAGCAGGCGCAATTCCGCGGCGCGCAACACGCGCCTGGACGTCTCTCTGCAGTCTCTACCCCGGGTATATCCCTGACGACATACATCGGTTGGACCTAATACGCGCGCGAGGCGAACCGACGAACGAACGGACTTGCCCAGGTATACAGAACACCTCCGCGCCGTCGGTGGCGTCGGTCGCCCCGAGGGCGTCCGGGTGTACGGGGGGGGCGGAGCCCGGTTGACCGGCCACTCCCACTCGGACACCATAATGGCCTCCGCTGCGCGAATCGCCGTCGCGGATTCCAGGCGCGGCTGGTGGGGAGCGGCGCGGCCGGCCAATCGCGAGCGCGCCCTCCACCCGTCGTAGGCGTGGCCTTGAGTAGCGCCACCGCGGCGACTTTGAGAAACGGCGAACCGGGCTCCGGGGAGAGGCTCCGGCTTCATTATGTATCATTATACCGGTCCGCGCCGCGCGGTGTGCACTGCAGTTACTGGAACCAGGCGCGCGTGTGTGCTCTTCTCTCCTCTTCTACGCCCTGGCCATCGTCTTCTTCTTCCCTTACCTCGTTCGTCCTGCCGGGTGCGTCCGCGGTACACGTCGAGCGTGCACGAGTAATCGCGGCGCGACGCGCGTAAAAAGCATATCGTCGCCGAGGTGGTGCGCGGGCGCGCGCGCGCTTGTGTGTCGCCAGTGTTAGACGGCGTGCAATTAAATCGGCGGACGCGAGTGCATCGCGGGAGACGCGCGGCGCCGATAGATCTCGAGCTCGGCTCCGACGCGCGCGACGTCGCGGCGCGAAAAGTGAAAAGGACCGGGGATATGCCGGCGGCCTGGCGACGCCGTCGCGGCGCGTCTCCGTTTGAAAACCGAGCGACGACGAGCTGACGGCGCACGGCGGCGGCGGCGATTGGACTAGTAGCAGCGTCGACTCCGGGACTCTTCTCGGCTCGACGGCAGTGCTCTCCGCGAGGACTACGCGTGTGAAGTGGACGTGGGTGAGACGAGTGGTGTCTGGACTGACGAACCGAGAGTCCTGGTGAAAGAAAGAGAGGGAGAGAGAGAGAGAGAGAGAGAAAGGGAGAGCGGCAACAAAGACCGCCCGACTTGGCAAGTAGTCAAAGAGTGAACAACGCAGTGAATCCCTCGGAGAGGAGACGAGGGGTCGTGCTAGTGCAGCGACTTGACCGAGAGGAATCCAGTGCGAGATCGAGCGAAACCGCGACGCGACGCGACCCGATGACGACTCACCGCGCCCGCTCCGACGCTCGATCGACGTAGTCGGTACATCACACGTACGAGAGGTCGCAAAATTCGGGCGCCGCGCGGAGGTACGACGGTCGCGGCGGCGGCGGCGGCGGCGGCGGCGACGGCGGCGGCGGCATCGACGTTGCGTCTAAGGTGGAGCGTCCGGGCAGCACGACGACGCTCAACTTCACGGACCTGGGGAGCCCATTCGGGGCGGGCGACCCCTGTCCGTCGAGTACCCCGACCCCGAACAGCATGTCGGGCGGCGGTGGACCGACCGGCGGCGGCGGCGGCGGCGGCGGTGGCGGCGGCGGTGGCGGCGGCGGTGGCGGCAGCGGTGCCGCCGGCACTGGCGGCGCCGGCTCCGACATGGAGCAACATCTTCACCATGCCGGCCTCGGCTCGGTGACGCCCGGCCCGCCCGGCGGCAACGGCGGCGACAGCACGACCTCCAGCACGCCGGTCTCGCAGAGCGGCAAGTCCGCCTTCATCGAGCTGCAGCACAACAACCTGTACAACCCGGCGAGCCTGCGGAGCGGCTACCCGGGCGGCCACAACGTGCCGGGCGCGCACCAGTTCTCGCACCAGGTCGGCTCGCTCGCGGCCCACCAGGCCACCGGGCCCGGCAGCGGCAATCAGCAGCACGCGGACGCGGGCTTCCCCAGTCCCCGCTCGCTCGCCGGATATCCGTTCGCGCCCATGCACCAGCACAACGCCTACGGATATCACATCGGGACGTACCCCCAGTGCCCCTCGCCGCCCAAGGACGGTGAGTACCCCAACTGTATGTATTCGCAGCCTTTTTTACATTTTCCTACTTCTAGACCGTAGTCTCTAGTTTTACCGACACCCGGCGAGATCTCCGTTTCTCGGCGCGCCGACGGCGGAATCGACCACGTGAATCCGGGAGTGAAGCTCGCGCGAGTGTGCCAGTGCAAAGTGAAACGGAGATGTCGTCGCGGGGGGGGCTCGAGGCAGGGAAATTCGTGACACCGTGATGTCGAAATCCCGCGAAAACGTCGACGAGGCAGAGGTACCACCGCCACTTGTCCGCGTCGACGAAACGTGAAAACGACTCGAAGTGACAAGCTCCGAATATTCGTCTTGAGCCTCGCGTGTCAGGTCTGATCTGCAACGTGCTCCTTGCGACTGAAAACGTTTTGTCTTGTACGAGCAAATCGATATGCTTAGAAAATCCGTCAGCTCGCGCGTATCCGTTGGCTGTAAAATAAAATCTATCTAGACGCAAAGGGCACGTTGTAAATCAGGCTACAGGGTCTGAGCAGAATGGTTGTCTCTTAGGACAATGTTTCACGTGTTGATTTAAGTCTAATCTATGTATACATTCTATTTTGTAGAAGCAAATCTATGAGCTTAAAACATGTATCGACAACGCACGATTGCACCGTTTATCAACTTGCACCAATTTTCTAAGCGTACTCCTGGGCTGTAAAATAAAATGTTTCTAGTCTTTAAAGTCTGATCTACAATGTGCTCTTTGCGTCCAGTAACATTCTACTTTGTAGTCAATAAATACGTTTAAAAAATGCGCGCAAGTGGATAAATTGTATATTATACACCGGAGCCGGGACTAGGGTGTGGCGAGCCAGGCACTTGTCTCGTGTAAAAAATTTGTCGGGGCGCAAAACTGACAATACAAATTTTTATAATGCATACCTGTATACATGATGATTAGACGCTCTGGTACATTAATATTAATATATTAAATGTAACTGATTAAAATTATTTTTATTACATTTTACATGCCGTAGAAAAGAAATATTTTTCGTTACTAAGGTGCGCGCTTTTTTCTTTGGCCCCGGGCGTCAAAATGTCTAGTCCCGGCTCTGTTATACACTGTACAATCGTACGTTGTCGGCAAATTTTTTAAGCATTTCGATTCTTTTTATGGAACGTTTCTAGATGCAGAGAGCGCAGAGTGTAGATTAGGCTCAAAGGCATTGTCCTTGAAGTGACGCAATAATTGCGTCTTGAGAGTAGAAGACAGCCGTTCTGCTCGGCTCTTAGATATAAATAAATAGTCATAGATATCTCTAAGTCGCTCATCGTCGAAACCGCCGATTCGCGAACGATTTCGAGCTGCGGGAGCGAGTGTCGTGCCGGCGCTGTAACGTTTGTCAGAAGTGACACGGTCGTGGCGAACGCGAGGCGAAATAAGACGGCGACAGGCGCTTCCGGTGGGTCACCTGTGTCTCCCGCGTCGCAGCGGCCGCTTTATTATTACGACTTTTTTTGCGTAGCCGCGGGACTTTATTGCCGCACGGCGAATGTCTTCATTCGCGCGGCGTAAATCACCGCGTGAAGTCTCGCGGTTTCGTAGTGAAGCACCGATCGGATGCTGTTCCGCGGATGTCCTATTGTTTCGCGCACGTGACTCTATTTTGGAAAACGCCCAAGGGCATTTAAACGTCTCCCATGTGACTCCCGTTGTGAAAGTGTAGGGGTCCTCAAAACGGGCTTTAAAAAGAGAATTTTAAAAGTGAGAGCTGTCGGGCAAATAAAGGCGTCTCTGTGCAAAATCTCGAAATAAACATCCCCCCCCCCCCTTAGCTTTCTCTTTCCCGCGTGTATTCGGAGGCTCTAAAGTGGCAGGTAGTGGCCGGTCGACATTCTACCTACGGTACAGTGCCACGAAACGGAATAAGATATATGACCGGGGAATCCACTCGGGCCACAAAAAAATCCCCGCGAAGCTCCCGGCGAGCGAGACAAAAAGAATCGGGATCGAAACGGGAGCGGCCGCGACTTCTGCTTCGCCCATCTCGGTCACCTCGCGCTTCTTCCCTCTCGCGCCCTTTTCCTTTTTCTACCTTCCAGAATCGCATTAGCGCGATGTAATCGTGATTTTTATTTTGCGCGCGAAATCGCGAGTCAGAGCTAATTACGATCATTATCGGGACTCGCCCCGAGTCCGTCGTGGATCGCGGAATCGCGGCGCCGTGCGCGATCCTCTAGCGATAACTAACTTCAGAATGTCTTTTTAAACTTGTTATCGTTGGATTTCGAAAATAGCTATTTATCTCGAGATGCCAATTACGTATGAGGAAAGTGAGACGAGCGGAGAGGAGCAGCAACGCGTACCACAAGTGCGTCTAGCTCGAATTGTTTACATCGACGACGACGAGCTGTCTCGATCATAGTGTGGAAATTCTCATTCTATTTGTCCGCTCGGATAGCCTAACGCGCCTAGTCCCCCCCACCTCCCCCCCCGCCCCCCCCCCCCCCCCCCACTACCCTCCCCCCCCCCCCCTCCCCCCCCCTCCCCCCCCCCCCCCCCCCTCTCTCCCCCCCTCTCCCTCCCCCCCCCCCCCCCCCCCCCCCCTCCCCCTCTCTCTCTCTCTCTCTCTCTCTCTCTCTCTCTCTCTCTCTCTCTCTCTCTCTCTCTCTCTCGCAGCAGTCTGCACAACAATGCGGCTGTACACACATCCGCGAAATCGCGTGATCGAGATAACCCAAGCCAACGGCACACGATACTATTTTTCCGACTGTATTGTTTACGGGAGCCAATCAGGACGCAGAGTTCTAGATGAGGTGACCCAAGGCCTACGTCCACGATGCTAGAACTTGGTCCAAGTTCTAATTCCGAGAAATGTGTCAATCAACTTGCGGCTTTCGTGGGATAGCTGCAGGTTGATTGGCTACACATTTCTTGAAACTAGAACTTGGGCCGAGTTCTAGATCGCTTACGAGAACCAATGAGGGTGCATAGTTTTAGATCAGACGACTCGGGGCTAAGTCCTGATTGACTCTCGTAAGCAATCCCAGCAGGTAAAATGGTATCGCGTGGCTTTATTTCGAAGCCGGGGCCTCCGCGCGGCGCGACGACACTCGCGCTGCTCTCTCGGTCGATGGTGATTTCCATCAAATATGGAAATATTCCTAGGCCCGCGGTAACGTTCGGCGAATAGCTCATCGTCGCGCGGAGCGAGCGGAGTAAATTCCGCTGTCGTCGCGCTCGCGGCAAGCGTTTTCGCGGCCGAGCGCGACCGACGGCGCTCAACCCTTTACCCTCCGGCCCGCGGTCTATGAATTCGTAACGACCCGCCGCGTGTCCGTTGACCGCGGCGGCCTGCGGCGGCCCCGCGGCAAGTCTGGCGTTTCTGCGTAACCCTTCGCGGCGACAACCCTTGCCCCGCGGCTGCAATTTTCGTGGCGCCTCTCTTGAAAATTACTGGTGATCTCCCGGCGAGAGCCGTGAAACGGCGTGGATACGCGGGGAGACCAACTTTTCCGCCAACGGCAGGAATCCGCGTGCCATCGGGGCGCGGTGCAATTTTTACGCGAGCGAGCGAGCGAGCGAGCGAGCGAGCGATCGTCAGGGGGTTGAATTCTCACGCACGCGGAGGGTCGCGACGCGCGGAAACTTGTGTTTCGCCCTTAAATTGCCCAGTCATTTTCCCTCGCTACTTATGCACCGCTCGCTTTTCGCAAATCGCACAGCAGCGAAATGCATATCCTCGATCCGCCTCGCGGGCTGCACCGCGGGAACTTCGTCGAAGGGTTGACATAACTTCGGTATTTTTGCGTAAAAGTTTCCTCTTAGGGGAGGGAGGGATCAGGTTCTCCGAGGAGGGGACGGAGTCACGATATCTCGGGGAAAATGTATCGGAAGTATTCGTTACGAGTCTCGTCGCTTTCGAGGCATCGCGTGGAGGCGAGCGTGCGTAATGCAAAGGTCGATAATGCGATAAAAGATTATCGCGACTTGACGTCGATCCGATTAATCGGAAGCGAAAAGTGCGTAATCGCGCGACGCGCGATCCGTCTAATTGCCGGACGCACTGTTTGTGTATTCCGCTCAGAGCGGCTTCGTTTGTGCCCCGGTGAACGCGACGCGCAACTCGTGATTACTTCGGGACGTTTTTTTTGATTATCCAATTAAAGTAACAGTGACGCGGTAATTGCGCGAATTTGCAATACCCATTGTAATAAACGCGCGTTTACGCGTAATCGATTCGGAGCCGCGCTCGCTCTCAAATGTCACTGTTTGTCGTACAACTAAATAAAGTTGAATCGCGAAATAATTGTATGAATATTAAAATCGCCATCCGCGGCAGGGAAGTCGACGTGGCGACGGGATTATTGATGCTAATTAATTAACGGATTAAGCGTGTCTCGAGAATGCATAATGATTGCACGACCTCTTTCAGATATCGCGCGTTTCTAATAACATAAATTAATACAATTTAAAAGTGATTTGTCTTAATGGAAATCAAAAGATGTTTAATTTATACAAAAATGTAATTCTTTACATTGACGAAAGGGGGGACGAAAGGGACGAAAGGGACGAAACAGGATTACATATCGTCAGCCTAATTAAAAAATCTTAATCCAATTTTTTACCAAATTGAGATATTTATTTCGGCTAATTTATCTTGAGATTTTGCACCGTTTAGGAAAATTGTTAGACAGTAATTTTTCATAAAAGAAATTAAAAATCTGGGCAAACAAACCTAACTCCCTACTGATTTTCCCACCTCCTAATTCCATGGTTATCCGAAGTTACGTGATTTTGTGACTTAGAAGGTTTTCTAATTAGTTACGTCAGTGTTTTCTTGACCATACCTGGCATTTTTAATAATACAGAAAATTTATTGCTAAAAGTATTACCTCAGCCAGGGTTCAAACCGACGTTGTTAATTACCGCTGGCGACATTGAAGAATTCTGATTAGTTTTCTAATTAGGCCGACGATATGTAGGGTTGTTAGTAAGCATCGAAACATTTAGATCGTTTGTCGATTTAAAGTGTATGAATCTATTGTCCCGCCAAAGAAACTGTGTTTTAAGATCGAAAAGTAATCGGTGCACGGAAAACGGATAAAACTTGACGCATTGAACCATCAAGCTACAGTCTGCTCGGACCGTTGGTTTTCTCATATTGATTTTCTATTTCGTATCATATCCATGCTTTAAATCTTCGTTAAATCTCCATTACCAAAAAGTGGGTATTTCTTTAAACTAAACAGCTTTACCTGCATTTACGGTACAAACAAACGAGGCCGGTAATATAAGCTTAAGATACGAAGACCGGTCATATTTGCGTAAGTGTTCACCTAATAAATTGTAATCGTTACGCCTTTCACGATGACTAAACGAGTAGAATGCACCTCGTAAAGGTGATTTATAACAAAATCGTCCGCGCTCGCGAAATCGATCCCTTGATCATTGCGTCGTCACGCGTGAAATGAACTTACATAAAATCCGCGAGGCTGGGCGTAATAACATTAACACGCGAAGTAGCGCGGTATCAGTCGGCGAGACAATCGGTACCGCTTGTCGGAAGCGTCGCGCGCGCGACTTTTCACACCGCCACGTGCTCTCGACGGAGACACGCGCTTTCGTCGCGCTCGCAATCAGCGCGCGCAAACTCGCCGATTGTAAAATCGGCGCACAGTCGCGGCGGCTCGTAGGTGCAGAGTCGGCACTTCGGCGGCGACGTAAACGGTCTCGGACCGGCCCAGTTGGGCCAGCGCGCGCTAATGAAGCTGTCCGGGATCGCGCGAGCATCGGCCGCGAGAGCGCAGAGGTGGGATCCTCGTCGAGGGATCCGCGGCGAGCGTATCCGACGCCTTCGCGCACCTCCGCGACCAATCTTATCGTCGTGACAAATGAACCGGCCGTTAACCGGCTTGTCCGCGCGTCCGCGTCTCACGCCCGTTGTCCTTCCTCCCCCTCGGAACGTGGCCGAAGCTGGAATCCAATTAGCGGGGGCTCCTCTCGTATCAGACCGGCACGGTATCTCGCATCAGTCACCTGACGTCCGACCGCCGCCCGGAACGGTCGGGACTTAATCCGGAACGGTCGAGAGACAATGCGTGGCCCCGGGTCCGAGTGATGGATTAGGTATTAAACGGTTGTTTTCACAAGGATTAGGCGGATACACCGACCCGGTGAGCGCCGGCCTTTCTCAAACCCCGCCGACCGTCACGCTTACAATGAGATGAATCGCTCGAATTCGTATTTCCTATAGGGACACTCTCCTGAGGATGAAACCCCGTGGCTGTTTGTTTTGGAACTCTCTCGAGATTCGAATTCCTGGAATAGCGGCGAATATCTGGAGCTTATAGCTTATAACAGAAACATATATAGTCGAGGCTCTGAACGCGTGGATTTTTCGTGTCTAGTTAATCCCGGAGCTCACCGCGTTTGTCATCCACGTGACAGCACTGCGGCGAAACTTTAGTCGACGATCAAATATGTGTGAAACGTGCGCTTACCTTTGCCTTCGAGTCTGGTTATTAAGCGACACTTCTGATTTTAATAAAAGTAAGTAGTACGCGCGATAGAACGGCTCGTTTGGAAATTACGAGTTACGCAACTCCGAACCTTTCGAATAGTTACGAATTTCCCAATGGCAGCCCGCGGCCGAGGGGACGGAATGTTTTCAATTGCGGGACAGGAGGTGCAAAAATGAAAAGTCGGGGGCGGGGGAGAAGGGAGCTTTTTCATCGGTCCTCGAGCGCGCGGTGTGGTAGCGATGTGGAAACGCGTAGACGTCGGCTCAGCGACAATGTTAGACAGGCCGCGTTAAAGTCCAGCCTAGGGCACAGACGGACACCTTGTAATTTCGTGTTCTCCGGATTGAGAGCCGCGCACCTACCGTATGATTATCAACGTCGCATTAATCGCTCGGCGCGGCTTATTATCATACGTTCGGTTTGATTACGCGACTCTAAAAGAACCTTCAGCGATGGCGAGGCGGCGCGGCCGCAAAGTGCTACTTTGCGGCAGTTTCTGCCGCTCTGCCGCGCGCTCACCGCACTTTGCATACACGCGTCCCGGCGTTAAAAACCATAACCCTAGCCGCGCTATCCTATACCCACGCGGTGCGAGCTCCGCGCGCGAGAGAAAAGTGCATCCATAAAACAGTACCTTCGACTCCTGACTCGCGCGCGCAGCAGTTACACCCCGCCCGCAGTCGACGTCGCGTCGCCTTAATCGGCTGTAATTAACAACGGGGGCTCGTTATCGCGGCTCACGCTTCTATAAAATTTATTGAGCAACGTACTACGCGTTGATACACCGCGCGACGGCGTTAACTGTTGCACCACGATAGAAGGTTTATCGCCGTCCCCTACAAAGGGAGACCAATTGAGAAGTGTTCTAATAGAGGAACGTTACAAGGTGCATTCACTCCTTCAGGTTTCTTATTATCTTTTGCCTATTTACCAAGGTAATTCCAGCTGCAGTTATTATTCTGATAAGGACGACGAATCTTATAAATGAACAAAAATAACAACACATTTTACAGATGTAAACTTTCTTCTGGGCGTGTTTGAATTAATTTGTGATTATCAGAAACTAATAACAAAGTGTCGGGATTAATTGTAAGATAAATCGATCTGCTATGTGCCAAATATTCTCGCAGAGCCGAATCGTCAGGCCGAAGGATCGCGGGCGCCTACGCGGATATTAAATATCGCGTACACGCCCAGTATCGTCTCGAAATTGCACGGGGAAGATAAACACGGGCGCAAACACGCGATTGCATCGCCGTTTGCAGCGCGATGTAACCTCGTGCGGAAAGTTTATGGAGGATCATTATTGTCTCTTTTACGCGCGATCAAAGCCTCCCCGTTGACTCTCTGATCGATCCCGCGTCTCGTCGATCTCTCCCCGTCGCCGCGCCGGCGCGACGACGCGCCCGCGTGTATAAATCACGAGGAATCACACGCGCGCGAGCGGACCCGTCGTAAATTACTGCTAATTAATAGTCGCGCTAATTGTCACGGGTGAGAGGTGCGAGCAGGGGACTCTCGCGCCTCAAGTCCACGCGTCGCGTCGCATTGCTAATTCGATGTCTCGGGATCGATATCTCTGTTTGTTCGACTCTCTCTTTCGGCATCTTCCCTCGCTCGCCTCGCGGACGACACAACGCGCTTGCTGTCGTGGCGCGAGAAGTGGCTCCCCCTTTTCTTCCCCCCTGTCTCTCCCTGTCTCTCCCTGTTTCTCCCTGTCTTTTCCGGTCTCTCCCTGTCTCTCCCTGTCTCTCCCTGTCTCTCCCTGTCTCTCCCTGTCTCTCCCTGTCTCTCCCTGTCTCTCCCTGTCTCTCCCTGTCTCTCCGTGTCTCTCCCTGCTCTCCCTGGCTCTCCCTGTCTCTCCCTGTCTCTCCCTCTCTCTCCGTATCTCTCCCTGTCTCTCCGTGTCTCTCCCTGTCTCTCCCTGTTTCTCCGTGTCTCTCCCTGTCTCTCCCTATCTCTCCCTATCTCTCCCTGTCTCTCCCTGTCTCTCCCTATCTCTCCGTGTCTCTCCGTGTCTCTCCGTATCTCTCCCTGTCTCTCCGTGTCTCTCCGTGACTCTCCATGTCTCTCTGTGTCTCTTCGTGTCTCTCCCTGTCTCTCCCTGTCCCCCCCCTCTCTCTCTGTCTCTCTGTCTCTGTCTCTCCCGGGAAGGCCACCCGCGTCTCCCCGATGAAAACACGCAACGTCGTAATCGCGATATAAAAATAATGAAACAGATTCCACGCGAGATAGGCAACGCGGGCGCTGGCACGATGCGCACCTCTATCGAGCTCTATGCTACTTCATTGCATCGTTTTAAGATTGATATATGGCTCCGTAATTAATTACCGCGCCGTTAACGCACTGTAGTGCTTTCTTCCTCACTCCCTCTCTTTCTCGCTCGGTCTCCAACGAGAGCACGCAGTCTCTATATTGTGCTAATTATGCGCAATACGTTGTATGTGAATTGAATAATGCATTTATTTTTATCAGATAATTACGCGCCGCTTGTCGAATAAAATATTCCGACTGTGTTTGTGCTATTGTTTCCTTTTGCCTTCTTTTCGAAAAAAGAAGAAACGACGCGTCATTTCCGTTAATTTCGACTCGATAAGCCTCTTTAAATGCCCCCAGCAGCCTTTACGCGATCCCCGGAACCGTTCGATCGGAAGAAATGACTTGTAATTAATGCGCGATTCGATGCTTTATTGCGAGAAAGAGTTAAAAAAAAGTCCTTAAAAAGTTAGTAAAGTGCCAACTCATTTCTTTGCTTGAAACGTTCTCTCCTTCTCCACATTCGAACCGACTTTTCTTACATAAATTAGTCAGGCATAATTCAAATTCCTAATTATACTACTTTTTTGAATAATTATCCCGTTAATTACAAAATCTCGATCACTTTATCTTCTCAAATTTTATTTTACAAAGAAAGATGTATAGCTTCCTTTTATACTTTTTCTCACCGCCCCCCCCCTCTCTCTCTCTATACCCGCTCGCATTACACGCTGCCTCCTTGAAATATCCGTCGCGATCGCAAATTTATTAATGTCGTAAAAATCAATAGCCGCGTCGGTCGTCACCGCTGCCGTAATATACCGCGACACGTTACCGAGATCGCTGGATCAGGTTTTAGTTTAATTTTATTTTTAGTTCGTACGCGAGCAGTGACGAGGATTCTGAAAGTTGATGTTAGGGTGGTGCATGTTCGCAGACCTCTCGCCATTGGGTGATAAGAGCGGCAGCCTCGTCGACGAGCTCGGCGGCGGCGGCGGCGGTTCCCTCAGGAACGGCAAGGGCAAGAAGATGCGGAAACCGAGGACGATTTACAGCAGCCTGCAATTGCAGCAGCTCAACAGGCGGTTTCAGAGGACGCAGTACCTCGCGCTACCGGAAAGAGCGGAGCTCGCGGCCAGCCTCGGACTCACGCAAACGCAGGCAAGTTCTATCGACGTTAAGAGACCGGCGGGACTGGAGCGCGAGCTTCCCACGCCGCGGTCGCGCGCCGATAGTCGCAGGCTCTTATCTCGCGCCACTCGTGACATGTCGGCGTAAACGAATTGCGATAAACGCGGGCGTAAAATACGATGCCACACTTGGCCGGAGGGGGCGAAAACGTGCGCGGGGCGTTTTGGATTTTGCGCACTTCGATTACTCGGCCCACCGGAATGGCGTCGTTTTAGCGCGCGGCGAAAATTACTCGGGATTTATGTAGCGTATTAATTTCTTAACTCGCTTACGCGTCAACTCTTTACCAAACTGCTTGCAATTTCTTTGTTAGATCACTTGAGAAGGACCACAAACCACGGTCGAAACGTTGTGAGTTTAAACACACAAATTTACCAGACATGGTCAAGTAATCTTCTGAAATTTTAATCACTTCTGGCGACTTTTAAGATTTCCTCCAGATTTACTCGGGATTATTGGAGAAATGAATTTCTTGTAGGCTACCTCCAGGCTTGCCTGGACCTAAGTACGATTCGGCGTTCTCGTTTAGATTTGAGTTAAACCTTAAAAAGGTCCCGATTTAACTTTAGGTGATTCTTTTTACTTGATTTTGAATTTTGGTTTTACACACAATTGGCGTTTCTCTCTTACAAGAGGATCCAGCCGTTTGAATAGTTATTGCGAGACATTGAGGGAGAAGGGACCATTACGATAATACACCTCGATACAGAAACAATTCTTCCTCGTACATATTTTACCTGGAACTTATTTGAGTTATAGCCGGTGTTGAGACAATACGCCTGCACCGAGTGATAAAATGTCCGGGATAGACGTTTCCGCGGGCGAAACAGGTTTTCCGCGCCGATACGGATTGTCGGGAAACGTCGTCGGAAAGACTTGACGAAATCGCGAGCGAACGAGCGAAACGACAGAGCGAATTCCGCGCGAGCGACGACGCGACGCGCGGGCCGCTAATTATACGAGGGTGGCGGCCAGAATTTGGAATTTTATTCGAAACGCGGCACGACGGTGCCCCCTTCCTTTCCTCCCGCGACGGACGGATCCAGTTGCGTGCTCGCTCCGCGGTAACGGGAGCCCCGATAAACGGCATCTGTCAGCGTTATCGGCACAAATGACTTTACTAAATCACCGATTCGCCACGCCCTGGACACCGGGGATAGGGTTGCCGCCAGTGTCCAGTGCACCGAGGAAGGGAGGGAGAACGAAAGGGACAAGTTTCCGGACTAACGAGGCGGCCATAAATTTCCTCCCGGCGATATCGCGCGGGCTTCGCGCGCGAGCTTTCCGCGCGGGCGGGGTCGTGGCGCGCGCTCGCCGAAAGGTTTTTCGCCAATTACCCCGTCGCGGTTTCCAATTAATGATTTATTAGGAGGATAGCCGGCTACATAATCGGCGAGGAGTTAATTGGCCCCGGACTTGTCCGTTATAGATTTATCTGACGAGGACCGTAAAGCCCGTAGCTAATTTGGGCGACGCCGCGGCGGAAGACAATTGAAATTTATTCGGGGATCGACTTGCGTATCACAGCCGTCCGTCAGGTTCCTTTCTATCGATTTGTACGCGCGGTCTGAACGGGATTACACGTTCCTTCGCACGAAATTATGCGTTTCATTGACTGACGCGGGACGGAGATGGAGCAATTTTCGCGGTTGCTCTTTGTGCGTTCCCTCGCCCCCTCGAAGAAGCGTGCACAATCGTCGTGGCGCAGAGCGCGTAACTGCGTATCGCGTAATCATGGGATAACTGGCTGTCGTAGCTGGTTGATGCCGTTGCAGGGGGTCCCGGACCGGATAATTTCATTAGACGGAGCACCGCGGGAGCTGTTCTCCCCCCCCGTGAGCGAGTGAATCGAGCGCGACGCAACCTGATGAGCAGTCGGCGTCTGGTTGTTTACTAAACACGGTCGTTCGAAATCAGCAAGTAGCCGCGGTCGGGGGTGGGAAAATTAAATTACGGAACCTCGGGAGATTATCTATTACGCTCTCTACGTGATTATCAGAGTGCGCCCTGCTACTTAAACCCCGCGAGGATCGGTCGACGTCAACCAGCGCGAAGGAAAGTTCGGCACACACCGATTCCCGCGTACGATCGTAGATTAGAATGTCGTAAAACGGTGACAGCTTGGATTTTCCTTTACTTTTCTCCGCTGCGGAAATTCGCGTCGACGAGGCGATTGAATCTCTCCCTCTCTGTCTCATCAGGCACCGCCGTAAAATTTTTTCTCCTGAAAATGGGAGGATGACTTCTACCTTTTGTCAAACACTCAGCATCTCCGCGCCACGTAACGAAGAATGTTCGCCGCGCGCGATCGGCGGTGCAGCTCTTCAGCAGGCACCGTGCATAATCCGTAATCGTCCAATCAAGGCGTTCGACCAAGCGCCTCTGCCTCTGCACTCTTGGCCCTGCTACCGTCGCGCGCTGGCTTTCTTGTCATCGCCACCAACATGGCGCCTTAGCCTTCAAGTCTCTTCCATCTTCTCCTCTTTCCTCGTCCCCTCTCCTCCTTGCACCACCGACAGCCTCGTCGTCCCCCCCGGCGGTCTCCCCTCGCATTTCCCCACCGGCTCTCCCCATTCTCCTCCTCCTCCTCCTCCTCTTCCTCTTTTCCCTCAGATGAGCAAGA